TACTCTTAGAAGAATTAACATGTCAATGTTCTTCTTCCTCCTTTAATGCAAATCTATTTTGAGTTGTCACATACAATAAAACCTGTATTATTAAATTCCTGTCTATATTCCTCAAGGAAGAAATGTGGATTAATTATGTTTTTTGATCGCTAAGTGTTAATGATTTAAGTGTTCAGAATTCACTTTAGTCATGTTTAGAAAATAATTACTTTTTAATTTTGAATAGGTATGTTTACCCCATGGTTCAAAAACATAAAAAACATACTAGAACATTTTGTGTCTTTCTGGTTTCTATCCCCTTTACTGAAAAGGGAGACACTGTTGGGGTACCTGGGTGGCTCAGTTGGTTGGGCGTCTGACTCGGCTCAGGTCATGATCTTGCACTGTGTGAGTTCAAGCCCTATGTCCTGCTCTGTGCTGACAGCTCAGAACCTGGATTCCATTTAGGATTCTGTGTCTCCCTGTCTGTCTGCCCCTCCCCTGCTTGTCCTCTGTCTCTCTCTCAAAAACAGATAAACATTAAAAAAATTAAGAAAAGTAAAGAAAAAGAAAGCCTGAGAGAAAAAGCAGCTGTCATGTGGACAGCTGGGTTTTACCGAAGCACAGGTGCTGTCCCTCCCCTACTTGCCTTGTTAACACCTTAACACTGCAGCCACAGGTGAACCAGTGACCAGGCAAAGCATAAATGAAAAGCAGCTAAGTGCCAAGAGATATGCCTGACTGGAGTGTAGTCAGACTTGGACAGTGAATGTTTTCCAGGGTGTACCTTACAGCTTACATAGTTGGACTGCCATATCTGAAAAAAATGAGTTTGTTTTGGGGGTGGGTGTGCAATGGGTGAAAGAGGTCAAAAGGTACGAACTTCGAGCTGTAAAAAGGTCATGGGGATGTAATGTATAGTATGGGACTAGAGTAGACATACTGTATTGCATATTTGAAACTGTTAAGAGGGATCTTTAAAGGTCTCATTACAAGAAAAAAATTTTTGTAGCTATGTATGGGAACAGATGTTAACTAGACTATTGTGGTGATCATTTCCCAGTATATACAAATAGTGAATCATCATGTTGCACATCTGAAACTAATATTATGTTAAATGTCAGTTATGCTTCAAAAAAATGAGGAGGAACTACATTTCAGATGGTAAAAAGTATTTTAATTGAAAAAGAGAAAAGAATGTCTTAGGAATTTGAAGCCACTGTGGCTTAAGAAAAGCCTTTAACAAAAATTTATCAAATTAAATAGAATCTAGTAAAAATCATAATGGTTTCAGAGGCAAACCCAACTTGTATTTTTTTTTTTTTTTTAATT